AAGTTCCAGTTTTGGGAATAGCATGATTAAGGAAAAAGATGCATAGAAATGAACATCATAGGTGTTACCCATGTGATATTCAATCCCTTCCAGACAAATGAATTGTCCAATGTTTTCCTCCCCCTTTTGCAGCAAGTTTGTTCCAAAAGCGGAAGTTACTGGTGCTGAAGTATGAATCTCCTGAAGTACCGAAGCCATCCTTCCAAGAATGTCAACAGCAGTGTCATTTTCGTTGGATGTATTGATGCTATTTTTAAGATTTGAATTGGACCTATCGAGGGAAAACTTTGTTTCACCAATGATTGATAAACTATGCAATGGAGGTGAGCCATCTAGAAAAAGGACGAAAGATGAACTCAGATTCGCTTAATATGGCCAAAGGCAAACAACAAAGTTTCGTGTTTCCTCAAATACCTGTCCAAATTGTTCCCCCTGCATTAAGATAGTACAGCTCATTGAAAAGCGTGATTGGGTACCTGCAGAAGTATTGAAAAGTTAAAATTTGACTGTTTATAAGTAAGAATATGATCATCCAAGCTCACCATTCAGGAAGCCTCTTGTCTTCAAGTATAGGTCTTTGCCATGCATCTATCTGGGACTCCCATTGGCCATGCTCTTTAAGTATTCAAAAATAAAAATAAGGACTTGAATTTGAAACTAAAACTGTCAAGAAATATAAATTGAAGAGAGGTTTATATAAATTCATTGAAGCAAAAGCCCAAGAATCAAATATAGGATGGGAGTCTTGTATTATTACCCAGAGAAAATCTCACAAATATTAAAAACCATATGCTCCAACTGAATCTTCCAATTCAGTAAGACACAAAGGGAATATTACCAAAAATGGCATCATGTACAATATTTGCAGCGGCATCCCCATTGGTACCATAGAATCTAGTGTAACGCCTGTTCAGAAATTTTTCTCTTTCAGCTTTTAAGAAGAAAATGATATTCCAACCTGTCATGTAAATCTGACATGCTTTTGGCCACCCACCTGTGATAAGTCCTTCCGTTGAGGAAGGTTACTTCTGGGCAGTCCCATGCCAATGAAAATGTAACATTCTGTACTGCACCTGAGGGAATTGTCAAAGAAGCTGCAATGGCTGCCCCGATAGAAGTCCCCGGCTCTGAAGGCATGGATCTTTCGGTAAAATTGAGGTGGTCAAAGGATCCATGCTATTAGAACAGAAGTACATATCAAAGGCTGTCAACAATCCTTATATAATAAAGCCATGGGAAGATAAACAGAAACAAGTGAAAAGTGAAAAAAATTGAGCCTCCTTGTCTGTTATTGACTTAAGGGAAAATCTTGCGTCAACAAATTTCTAAAGGCATTCTCCTCAAATACAGATTAAAAACTCACCCAGTTAGAGGAACAGGTATACATGCAGCTAAAACTAGAAAGAAAGAAACAATGTTGGGAAACAAAAAATACGTCCAAAAATATCATTTTTTATACAAAAAAGCAAAAAAATATTCATTACTGAACCTTTTTTCGGAAGGTTATTCATTCGTCAACTTGCACCGTGCTAAATCCTAGATCATTTCAACTTGTCATGCAACACTAACTATTTTTGAAGAAACATTAAGCAAAGTCCTTTTATATTATGCACAATTGTGAGCACGGAGCAGTAGACCACCAAACCTCTTTTATTTCATTCCACATGTCTTTAGCTGTGAGGCCCTGGCAGTTTCCAGATATCACGAAGCAAGGACACTTGGAGACGTGAACAACATTTGTTTCTTCTGCTGCAATAGCAAAAGTTACTGGGGGTAGTCCATTGGCAGTCCTGTATTAACATGTGGGGTGTTACAAATAGACATTAAATGATAAAATATTAAACCCTCTGGGGGAGAAGTCAAGAAATTTTCATCCGAATGGAGAAGAGGAGCTCACGTGTGATGCAAAAGTACACCATGAATGCCATCGTTTGACCTAATAGTGATAGACATTGTACATTAAATTATGTAACTGGAGTTTAAGAATCAAAAAAAAACTTTCACAGTGATAAATAAACAAGAAATATCAAATATTGATAAAACCCAATTACTTGGGGTCCAATCAATAATCTGAAAGATTGAAACCAATGATCAAATAAAAATAAATATGGAAGAGATCAACCTGATATCTGTTCATACCTCATATTTGAATTGGAGTGATGACCAGACAATCCAGAAATCCCACCAACAGAATTCTGAATGTACGTATTAAAAAAATGGTCACAAATTCAATTGGTCTATCAAAGGCCATAACCGCTTGAAGATTCTAGTTTCAATGAATAGGAATACAACCAACAAGGTTACATGCTGAACCAGAAGATCAGTTGAAGGAACTGATATGTGTGAGACTAAGGAAACTTACAGCCCATGAGAAAAGCAAGGTGATGTCTACAGCAGTCTTTCCAAAATTAGACAGCTGAGCGAATCAAAACTAACATCTTAGTAATGTTTCCATGAATAACTGATCCAAGAAACACCTAAGACCCTCTTTCCTACCGTAAAAGTAAACACTGCAACAGGGAAGCTGCTCTCCTTATAATTATGGGGGATAAAAGGGGAAATCTGACGACAGACTATTCTAAGTGCTGGATCAGGTTCACCTGTATTGAAATCAAAAAACTGACTCACGAACAAGATACATTATCCATTATCAAGGTCAGCAGATCAAGAAATATACCATATGATCATAAGATTACCTTCATATACAGTCCAAGCCCTCGGAAACAATGCATGGTATGTAGAATTCTGCCCACTCAGATTCCAGTCCCAAGATCCTATGCCAGAAGCTGAACTACCTCTGTGTATTAACATTATATTCAGCGACATTTTCACAGATGCTTAGAAGCAAAATTTTCCTGATGCAAATGAATTAATGCTAATTGGTGCAATCTTTCTTTCATTACTCTTGTTTTATTTTTTTGGCTTTCCTTACGCTCATTCAGATCTCACTCGTGCAATCTCCAAGAACAAAAAAAAAAAAAAATAGGTTAATACAGTAGTTGCTTACTTCAAGACTTCTGGGCTAGTTGGGCATAGTACAGTAGAATACTTTTCCCCATTTGGGCGGGAAACAAAAACCTGCATTAGGATGTCAAATTCAAATGAAGCGATTTCAATAATTTGGCAAGCTTAGTATCTATTCCTAAAGATCTGACGTAGCTTGAGATCTTGTTCTACAGATTTATTTACTTTCTCAATATAAATTGTCCAATGACTTGTTTGAGCTTAAGCAGTTATTAACTCGGCTTCAATGTGCGGGTGTGCATGTCAGCCCTCAAGTGCGTCACATGCTCAGCACATTACAATTTAAGTGGAGTACAACTCATAGACCTTATGGTCAAGAATTTTAGATTACTACTGAGTTATGACTTATGAGGTTGTATCATTCCCCAAAAATAAATGTCTTAACAAGAGCATAACGCTACTGATGCAATCCATAGGATGCTCAAGAAGAGGCAAAGTCAACGACATGAAGAATTATGAATTGGTTTCCCATCAAGATAAAGACTCATATGAAACCCTACATAGTTTTATTTGAGTCTTATTTTTAATTACCTTTAGTAAGTTTGATGGTATTTAGTACTTTGTGTCTTTTTATATATTTAGGGTATTTTGTTAATTTTCAAAATTTTTAGAATGGGTCATATTTTTGGGTCAAATTCTAGTGTTGAATATTCTAGAATTTAAAGTTCTAGTTCTAGTTAATTTTAGTTTTCTAATTTTTAGGAAATTAGAATTTTTGGAGTTCTAGAGTTTTTGTAATTCTAATCTTTTTGGGATTAGCAATAATTAGAACAATATAAATAGTTAATGTTACTTTTAATAAAAGAGAGATATTTCAGAAATTCAGTAATTATATGCTTTTTGAATTGTGTGATGCAATTCTAACCCTAGGTATGATGCCTAAGGAACCCTAGGAGTGATTCCTAGCCTATTTTTCCATTCTCGTACTATTCACAGCATATTTCATTGTTCCCAACCACAAAACAGTCCACATTTTGATTTTACACAACTGTCCTACACTAGCTACTATCTATAGCAAATTTTGTAAAGAAAACAAAAGTGGTCGGTAGTATTACACCATTTTGGAGAGTTTGGTTCTTGGACTCAAGCACATGACATGGAAAGCCTCAGAACCCCTGATGAAGGCTTTCCCCATGATACCATTAGAAAGTTGACTAATGGCCAAATTTTTTGGAAAGTTTTTCGCATACAAGAGGCAATATAAACAACTTGTGTACTAACTAAGCCTCAAAGACAGCGTCTTCCCCCACCCTCTAATCAATCTTCTTTTTTCTTATTTCGGGAGGGAAAGGGGGTCCCTACTTTCTTCGTTGCAATCCTCTTTTCATCGATTTTCACTTCAAACATGATCTGTACTACTTGGTGGTGTGTGGTAAGATTTTGCAAGCTAGTTCCTAATATCTATTGAAATCTTTGTGCTCAAGAGGTTGGTAGTTGGCTTCACACCCTCCTCCATTAAGTTTCCTTTCTTCCTCTCTTTTCTTACCCATGTCTTTTCCATCCCTTCCGCCTTATTTCTTTCCCTTCTTCCAATTCCAGTCACATTGGCCTTAGTCATAAATTTTTCCTCCACATTGGTAACAAAGTTGTGCCCCAGCACAATGGAAAGGTTACCCCTTGTGATATGGGCATCATAAATCCTAGTCATGGCTAAAGCAAATAGATGAGGACTTCATAAGCATCACCGGCCATTAGAAAGTTGGCTAATGGCCAAATTTTTTTGGAAGTTTTTTGCATACAAGAAACAATATAAACAACTTGTATACTAACTAAGCCTCAAATACAGCGTCTTCCCCCACCCTCTAATAAATCTTTTTTTTTTCTTATTTTGGGAGGAAAATGGGGTCCCTACTTTCTTCCTTACAATCCTCTTCTCCTCGATTTTCACTTCAAACATGGTCTGTACTACTTGGCGGTGTGTGGTAAGATTTTGCAAGCTGGTTCCTAATATCTGTTGAAATCCTTGTGCCTTGTGCTCAGAGGTTGGTAGTTGGCTTCACACCCTCCTCCATTAAGTTTCCTTTCTTCCTCTCTTTTCTTACCCATGTCTTTTCCATCCCTTCCGCCTCATTTCTTTCCCTTCTTCCAATTCCAGCCACATTGGCCTTAGTCATACATTTTTCCTCCACATTGGTAACAAGGTTGTACCCCAGCACAGTGGAAAGGTTACCCCTTGTAATATGGGCATCATAAATCCTAGTCATGGCTAAAGCAAATAGATGAGGACTTCGTAAGCATCACCGGCCATTAGGAAGTTGGCTAATGGCCAAATTTTTTGGGAAGTCTTTTGCATACAAGACGCAATATAAACAACTTGTGTACTAACCAAACCTCAAATACAACGGCTTCCCCCACCTTCTAATAAATCTTCTTTTTTTCTTATTTCGGGAGGGAAATGGGGTCCCTACTTTCTTCCTTGCAATCCTCTTCTCCTCAATTTTTACTTCAAATATGGCCTTTACTACTTGGTGGTGTGTGGTAAGATTTTGCAAGCTGGTTCCTAATATCTGTTGAAATCTTTGAGCTCAAGAGGTTGGTAGTTGGCTTCACACCCTCCTCCATTAAGTTTCCTTTCTTCCTCTCTTTTCTTAACCATGTCTTTTCCATCCCTTCCGCCTCATTTCTTTCCCTTCTTGCAATTCTAGGCACATTGGCATTAGTCATACATTTTTCCTCCACATTGGTAACAAGGTTGTGCCCCAGCACAGTGGAAAGGTTACCCCTTGTGAGATGGGCATCATAAATCCTAGTCATGGCTGAAGCAAATAGATGAGGGCTTCGTAATCATCACCGTTTAAGTTTATTAAGGCATTAGGATAAAAATTCAATAAGCTTCATTGATGCAAGCCTAGCAAACAGATTCATTTATCTCTTCCCTCTTTACTCTTGTAAGAGCTTCTACAATGTTGAATTTCAATTTTTCGTCTTTTTCCTAAACCACCAGATTTCCCATCATAGTTAACCAACAAAGGCAATCCCTAATAATCCAGACTGCATGTCCTAATAATTTTATTCCTGCATATCATACCAGAAATTCAGAACCCCCAAACTAAAATACCAAAAAACTAAGAACCAGGGGAATGGCAGGAAATATACCAGATCAAACTACGTCCAAACAACCAAACAAAATTTCATGTAGTAAAATGAAGCTCCCCTCTCATAGATAAGTTGTTTATTATAACAGAAGCATCAAACTTACAGAAAATTGGTTTGCTAAAACTGGTTTATCTTCACATATTCTAGGGAATAGTTGCCAACGCAAAAATTCGCCTTTGTAACTTCTTCCGATGCTTCCTGCACTGGAAATGGTGTTCTCTCAAGAACAAGGAAAAAATATGAAAGGTCTATGAGCATACTGACCAATGGAGACCCACAATGATCACTTGAAAAGATACAGTAAACAGAATCTGGTATACAATTACAGATAAGCAATACAATATGATACTATAAAATGTGGACATAAAAAATTAGGGTCTTATTCCAAATAAAAACAAGGTGCCAAAGAAGGCAACTCCTAGGAATGTAGGCATGACATAGTAGTCTCATTTGAGAACTCCTACAAACTATAAGAATGAAACATTTTATGTTTTTTGGGTGTGTGTTTGCAAGTTGCATAAAAGGGAATATAATGAGGAATATAGTACTCTTATAGCAAGTTTTGTAGCATAAGAACTATAGGTTGAATATGGAACACTCAGGAGTGTCTAACACATCAATTTTGGATAAAAAGGAGTATCCGCAATATTAGAAATATTAGGAGTGTCTCAGAAGAGACATATAAGGTTTACTGAAAAGAACAACTTGGCATACAAGCTAGTGTCATTAAATTAGACTGAAGACTTACCCAATAGCACCTAGAGGAACACCTTGACATGATGTGAGAGGGGCCCTTGTGAAAGGATTTAAGAATGCACCCTGCAACAATGAAACAGAAATATGCATGACATGCTTCTATCATAACCAGAGCACCCATCATAATTAAGATCGACAGTTTAGCAGTAAAAGAATTTACCCCGCCTCTAGCAGCTTCTTCTCGCATATGACGCCATAGCCGATACCCTAGTGGAATCTACAGAAAACCAAACAGCTAGACAAAAATAGATGGACAGAGCATAAACCAAAGAGTATAAAAGAGGACACTAGAAGCCCGCATGATTAATGAAGGCCCCAAAGCTCATGCATTTGCAATGTGGTCTGCTGTATCACAAAAATTATCAAGCATTCAAGCATATATTCAAGTAGAAAGCTGTTTCTTGTATATTTCCAGAGTTGGACATATCGCATGCTACGCCTGAACACAGTTTAAGGTGAAAATTGGGGGTGGACAAGTAATGAGCTTGACAACTACATTAAATGGTAACACACAGTACATTCAGGACTTCTTACCCAGATTACTATCTTTTCTATCCGTTCTTATAATCTAAAGAATGGTTTCCAACTTATTCTCCAGTCTGACCCACACTTTCAATGGAAAAGTGTATGGTTGATCAACACTTCTGAAAGCTTTGTATTGTAAACATGCTTCTACATTGAAAACGCTTTAATTTAAACAACAATAAAATGGAAAATAAATTACAAATTGCCGTATCTAAGGAACAAGACACTTATTTCAAATCCATCAATTTGAAATAGGGAGACCAAACCTTAGGGTGAAAGAGTAAGATTGAAATCCATTACCCCAAAATTCAGGAGAGCCAAGTCATTCAATCAGTATATCTTCGGCTTGAAAAGAATGAAAAGACATTGTCAGAAGCTCCTATACTTTGAGCTATTTTTTCAGTTCTTACAAGCATATTGCTCCAGAAGCCTAGAGTCCTAGACCACTTCATAAGGGCCTCACTAATTTAAAGCTAGAGCTCTCTAGATGTTTAATTCACAGATTTTTAGAGTATTAAATAGATACCCTAGCTTGGGAAAACTTGCCCTATTTATTGGTCCAGAATTAGATTTGTCTTGGGGTCAAAATAAATACAAATTTGTCACTAGAATGAAAACATGGTTCAAACTAGATATGTGGAGCAGAGACCCCTCAGTCATCTTAAGATCACTTGAGCTGTCAGCAGACCACTCGAACGGCCTGAGAGCGACCAAGAGGACTGACAAATTTGTGAACAAGGATCAAAATTTTATTTCGGTGTATTGTTTCGGTTACCTAGGAAACAAAAACGTTTTGACATGTTTCGAAAATATTTTGACCCGTTTCGGAAACATAATAAAAAAATAAAAAATTTAAGAATTATTTTTCTAAAATATTGATTTAAATATATCAAAATACCTTAAAACATTCCGAAATAATTGTACAAATGCATTGAAATATTGTAATATATTCTAAAATATTATAAAACACCTCGAAATATTAGAATTTCGATTTCATCACTGATTTGTTTCGGTCTTCTTGAAAACAGAAACGTTTCAAACATTTCGAAACGATATTTTGATCCTTACTTGTGAGCCCTCTCCAATGCTTTTCCAATTGTTCAGAGACTATTCTAGCCAAAGTTAAGTGAACAAATGAAGGTCTCTACCGATTTGCAAGCCAAAAACCAATAAAAAACCTGACCTATTGAGTTTAAGCACTATAGAGTGTTGCACAAATATGATCTAATTCATGACTCATTCTATGTTCTCAAAATATATTTAACGTTACATTTTTTTCATGAAAAGCTGAAGAGATAATCCCAAATCTATTTCAATTGATCCTAATTAGCCTAAATTTAAAATTAAACCAAGGATTTTTAGGTCTCTAGATCATTACTTTTGTCATAAGCTCTTGAAGGTACATTAAATTTTTTTTTGAATTGGCTTTGAAGCTTGAACTCCTTCCTTGAAGCTTTAGGAACATGATCTTTGAAAGCATTATGACCATGGATTTAAGTTGAGATTTATAACAATACTTCATGAAATTAGTCAATTACAATCAATTTCCTAACATACCATATTCATTTTTAAATGCAGGGAAGTGGGAGAAATTATCCAATTTGATTTCTCCACCAATCTTTTAATTGCACCGGCAAAATATACAAAATTCGTCATCTTTATAGATAAGTCAATAAGGAATGATCTTTTGTAATTACTCCTTAGTTTTCTAGTAAACACTCGACTAAAAATTAATATTGTGAAAAAGTAAACCATATTAGATATTACACTTTCATATATATACATATGTATAGTACTATACTTGTATTTCAATAGTAAGTGAAGGAGCACATCTAAGGGCAAAAAAACAAAAATGCAAAATAAATGATACCCAAATTTTTTTAAAAAATAAAAACAATAAATTTATTTAAAAAAATGTATTATCAAACGATACGAAACTTCCTGCTAGAATTTGCTTATAGGAAAGAGCAATATATTGCAATAAAATTTTCAGACATACCAGGGATATTGTCTCCTTCAAAGTTACAGTGAATGATGGGAGTACATTTTCCTTGGTGTTTAATTTTCGCTGCCATGTCAAAGATGCTGGTTTTCCTGGGTCCACCTTAACCTAGAAATCAAAGAAAAGGAAACTAGAGATTAGATCAGCACTCAAAGGGCTTAAAATATGAACTCTTAGTCTATTCCGTATGATGGGTGCAAAATTAAAGGAAAGATCGTAGGAAAGATACACTTTCTATCCGATGGAATATATTTTTTTTCCCTTTCTTTGGGTTTCATAAGAAGAAAGAATCTATACGTGTTTGGTTTTGGTGAAAAAGTGAAAGCAAGAGGAAAAGTGGAGATGTATGGCTTACTACAATATTCACACATGTGAAGTTAATTTACCTATCATGTTTAGCTTATTAATAGAGTATATTTATTAAGGTATGAATAAGTAAATAACTTATGTACACACATGGATTTGTCTTTACTTTCACCTTTACACCTAATTTAGGAAATATATTTTGGTAGGATGGAAAAAATACTCATCCCTCCAGTTATTTTTTCTTTCATAATACTTAATATGTCTTTTCTCTTTTTCATACTTTTATTTTTCCATTCATCCACTTTTTCATCATACCAAACAAAGTAGAAGAGACACAAAGTGCCATCGAAAAATATTTGGGTATGTCACTATAATGCCAATTGTCAAAAGTAGTTAATTGTGTCCAAACCAACGTTCAATTTATAACTAACAAATATATAGTTGCAAGGATGTTTTAGACCAAGGTTGAAGCTATATATATCAACTAGGATTAAGTTTTTCGGTGCTTATTTTGTTTGAGTAATTATAAGAATTGATGGTGTAAAAAATTGAGAAGCACGATAAGTTATAGATTGAATATTAAACAATAAAGAATGCAAGAATTAGAGTGGTTCATCCTACTAAAGAGCAAGAGCAGTCAACTGTTGAAGAGAGGCTCTTGCTCGTGGGGGCGTGTGTTATTGCCCAAGGAAGAAGAAAATACACATTAGGGTTTTCTAGGGGGCAATGTATATGCTTACCCCTTGTTACATTATTTCATTATTTTTATAACAGATTTGTCAAGGAATATTTGGGAGAATATTTTGAGAATCTGGCCGTTGAGAGACTTTAAGCTCAAGGCAAGGTGAAGCTTCTAGATGGCTCAACATCTTGCCGAAGGTAGGTTTCTTAAGAGGCGCCCCATACCATTTAGGTAATTTTCAAGTTTGAAGAACATTCCTAACGAATTTGCATACATGTCCTCGTCCTGAAGTGTGTCTAGGTCAGTTTTGTTCTGTTGGTCTACTCAACCATGACAACCAGGTCAGCAGATCTGAATTGCCTATGTTTTGGTATCATCGTCTGCCGCCAGCTCTAAGTTGAGCTTGAATAGACTTCTGGTCGAGGATGAGCTCTTGGATTGTGTCAACAGTCGTGTTCCTTGAATTGCGCATAACTAAAAAGACGTGTCTGATCGTTATCCCATCACTACGCAATTATGATGACATGCCGCATGTATAGCGCCTTGATTTGTGGAGCATGCTTCTCATAAGGCAACACGTGACCCACGCATGCTAGCGCATTAAATGCGCTATAGTGCGCTTTAACTGTCAAAAACCTTTTTGAAGTCCCGTTCATTGTTACCTCCATCTTCTTCATCTTCTTAGAATCAAAGAGACCTTGAGAGGTTTCGTTCCAATAGTCATTGTTCCCATCATCAGAGTTTGCTTTTCTCGTTGATTTTTGAGTTTAGTCGACTTTTCTTTTAGGTACATCCACTCTCTTTTGCTACTTTGGATGCATCTGGCCCTTGGTGGTGGCCAAACATCTTTTACTTCATAGTTTTTAGAGTTTGTTACCATCAATGGCTTAGGAGAACTCGAGATCCCCTTCCTTACTTTGTCCATTGTTCAATTGTAGCAAGGATATCCTTTGTTTACAACTTGTGTTTTGAACCACAAATTATTGACGACAACTTTCTGCACCTTCCTCACCTGTACCCCAGGCTGAATTGCTTGGTTCCCATGTCTCAAGTCATTTCTTCATCATCTTCAGATTCATCGTCTTCCATGGTCTCCATATCTAGGGATAAGTCCACCTAAGTTGAGGTCAGTTCAACCTCTAAGGATGACGGTGTTGATCTGTTGGAGATATAGCAGCAACTTAGTTTATTAGGGTTTTTATTAATTTTTCTTTTTTATCTTTTTGTCCTTATTGTAACTATCATTGACTATATATATGGGGCTCTACACTTAGTTTGTATCCCTTTCACTCACATTTATTTCAAGTTGGTACCAGAGCCACCAACCCTAACCCTAACCCTAGCCTCCGCCAAACATCGCAACCAGCAGCAGCCTCAACTCCATCAAAATCAACAACCCCATCAGCCCCCAGCAGCATCCCAGTGTCCAGTAGCCTCACCCACAAACCAGCAACACAACCAAGACTCCCTCTGCTGCAAACACCCAGCGACAATCCAGAATAATCTCATCCTTCACTACCCAGCACCGACAAACAGCACAGGCCAGCATCCCACCGACAGCTAAGCAACCGACCAACATCCCACCGAAAAACAGCAATTATATGTTTCCCAACGAAAAACTCAACCCAGCGAACCTCCTCACCCACAAACCAGCAACACAACCAAGACTGCCTCTACTGCAAACACCCAGAGACAATCCAGAATAATCTCATCCTTCACTGCCCAGCACCGACAAACAGCACAAGCCAGCATCCCACCAACAGCTAAGCAACCGACCAGCATCCCACCGAAAAATAGCAATTATATGTTTCCCAACGAAAAACTCAACCCAGCGAACCCAACTGCCTAACAAATCAGCAAAGAACCAATACAGCCACCGACAGCCTCAAACCCACAAACCAAACCTAATAAACAAATCAGCCCAGCAACCTAATAAACCAAACTCCTATTTTTGGGTCATTCCTGACCAGCCTAGCAACCTAATAAATCGAACTCCTACTGTTGGGTCATTGTCCAGCCCACTGTTGGGTCGCATTTTTCGTTACGGCTTCGTTTTAGGATTTTTTTTATGAGGGGTTGAATCCTCTTTTTCTCCGTCTATTGATATTCTCTTGATGCAGTAGATTATTTATATTTACTGGATTTCTGAGCACCGTGATCTGATTATTTGGGGAGTTTTGTGGACCTTCTTTATCTGTCGCTACTGTTCGACTGGAGGTATATTGTTCTCCCCTATTTTATCCCTCTATTTTCCTGTCACGGGTGCTCTAGTATTATTGTTGATATGACTACTACCACTGAGGGACTTGAGACCCCTACTGTTGACACCCCTATTGTTGAGACATCCATGGGTACTTCCACCTTTATGTTTGACCAGTATACAGTACCTATTAGCACAGTTGCATTACCAGCACTACCGGGCATGATCTCTCAAAAAGTTACGGCACAGTTGTTGAATGGTCGTAACTTCGCTGAATGGTCTCGCTCATTCCAGTTTTTCTTAGGCCGTGTAGGGAAGCTTGGTTGGCTGACGGGATCTTACCCAAAGCCAGCTGATTCCAACCCTAGATATTTTGTGTGGTTCTCTGAGAACTGTGCCATTCTTGGATGGTTATTTGGCTCGATGGAGCCATCTGTTTGCAGGATCCACCAGTTTCATAGCTCTGTTCCGAAGCTATGGAGCGCATTATCAGAGATGTATTCTCAGTCAGGACAGGGAGTTCGTGTTTATGAGCTTTCTCAGGAGCTCTCATATGCTCAGCAGGGAGATATGACCGTTCAGGATTATTACGGCTATTTGACCCAGCGCTGGCTTGAGTATGAGACTCTACGTCCTCTTGCTGCTATTCCGAGGATAGAGCCCAAGGGAGCAGCATTCTTGTATACTCGAGAGTAGGAGGATAGGATTCACAAGTTTCTTATGGGGCTTTGTGATGAGTTTGAGGGACCTCGTTCTCAGATCTTGTCGATGTTGACACTTCCTTCTCTTTATAAGGTGTATGGGATGATTGAGCAGCATGAGCGCCGAGTTCGTATTGCATCACTTCCAGTTATGGCTTTGACTCCTTCGGCTGATCAGATGGCCTTTGCAGCTGCTGTAAGGTCTCGTTCAGGATCCTCAATCAGGGTGGGCAGCGCTCGGATCAGCGCCGTCAGGGTGCCCCAGATCAGCGTAGACAGGGGGATTCTCGTCAGGGTGCCCCAGATCAGCACAGACAGAGGGATTCCCGTCAATGTGATTATTGTGGCCGACCAGGACATCTCAAGGCTACTTGCTGGAAAGCTCCATCCAGAGCTTAAGCCGCCTCCTCGCAGTCGTACTGTTGCTATTGCTGAGGTACCACCACCCACTACCGTTATTCCTGCTGCTGCTGCTGCTCCACCTTGGCAGAGTGATATGGATGCTATCACTTCCCGATTAGATATACTTATGTCTGCTCTGACTTCTCAGAGTCTGACTACTGCTGCTGTCACCACTACAGGTATACCTCGTTTCTTTCACGCTTGTGCCAGTTCATCTCCCCTTTGGATGTTGGACTCGGGTGCGAATGGTCACATGACAGGTGAGGCCCATCACTTCACCACTTTTGCCGAGTAGTTACATACACAGGTTCAGTTAGCAGATGGGACACATGCCCCTATTGTTAGTAGGGGTACAGTCCGCCTCCCAAATGGCCTTACATTACGTTCGATTTTTCATGCGCCAAAGTTAGCCATGAATCTATTATCTGTACATCAGTTAGCCAGAGATTTTCATTGTGCGGTTGTATTCTTATCTGATTCGTGTTATTTGCAGGACCTGAGTACCAGGAGGATTATTATCAGGGGACATGAGAAAGATGAACTGTATTATCTTGGCAATCCACCTCCAGTTTCACCAATTCCTCCACCTACATCACCTGCACCTGCTTTGCCTTTTTCTGTTCCTAGCTTGCATGCTAGTATTTTACCTAGTAGTTGTCGTTATGATTTTTCGTCACAAACTGTTCAGTTGTGGCATGACCGTTTTGGACATACAAATTTTAAATATTTATGTATGTTGTTTCCTGCTTTGAGCAATGCTTGTGTTGGTGGTAAACTTGACTGTGTTATATGTTCCCTATCGAAACATGTTAGGGCCAGTTATATTCCTCGCAATGCACCAGTCACCTAAGCCATTTGACCTAATACACTTTGATATTTGGGGACCCTCTCCCGTTACTGCTCTGTCAGGTGCCCGATATTATGTGACATTTATAGATGACCATACCCGTTGTACTTGGGTCTACCTTTTGCATAGAAAGTCTGATGTACTCCCTATAATCACTCATTTTTTACAGATGATTAAGACACAATTCGATGTCATTGTTCGTGCTCTTCGTTCGGATAATGCCAAAGAATATGTGTCTGATGCCTTAGTGTTTCACCTTTCTTCTCAGTTATTCTTCAGCAACTCACTTGTCCATATACTCCTGAGCAAAATGTTGTTGCTGAAAGGAAAAATAGGAGTTTGATAGGAATGGTACGTTGTATGCTTAGAGGCATGAGGGTACCAAAATCTTATTGGCATTTTGTTGTTTTGACTTCTACCTTTCTGTGCAATCGTACGCCGAGTCGTGTTCTTTAGCATAAGGCTCCCTTACAGGTCTTATTTCCTGAGCGGACACTTTTTTCGGTCCCCCTCGTGTTTTTGGATGCACATGTTTTGTTCAGAATCGGTCTCCTACTCGTCATAAACTTGATGATAAAGCGATTCGTTGTATCTTTGTAGGCTATTGTCATCAATCTAAGGGGTATCGATGTTATGATCCTATTAGACGCCGCATGTATCACAGTCTAGATGTTACCTTTCTTGAGCATATTCCTTATTTTCCTCCCAGTCCTGTGTCTACCCCTCCGGTTGATGATACTCCCTTTGATTTTCCATTACCACAGGAGTAGAGTCAGAGTCATTGGTCATTCTCCCTCCAGAGCCACTCATCCCTGTCAGTACAGAGTTACCAGTCTCTCTTCCTTTGCAGGTGTATGTTCGTCGCCCTCGCTCTCATCACCCTGCTGATGTCCCCTCTACCTCAGGCGATGCAGGTAATACTTCTCAGTTTGTTGAGCATATTGATGCACCTGTTGTTAGTACTGATGAGATTGCAGGTGCTGAGCCAATTCATTTACCTAATGAGACATTATCAGTGGAGGAGTATGATTTAGGACGTCGTTATCCGCGGCGTGATCGCCGTCCAGTTGATCGTTATGGTTAGACCGCCAGGATTTTATATCCGATCTTTGCTTATGTTTCTTATGGTGATCTGTCTCCCATATTTCGAGCTTATACTATAGCCTTATCAGATACGCCGGTTCCTCGCTCTATTTCGGAGGCTATGCGGGAGCCCAATGGGTTCTTGCCATGCAAACAAGATGGACGCTCTTCAGCGTAATCATACATGGGATCTTATCTCCTTACCTTCAGGGGTGAAGCCTATTGGCTGTCACTGGGTTTATACCCTGAAAGTTTCTTGCGGATGGTACTATTGATCGTCACAAGAGTAGGCTTGTGGCGAAGGGTTTACTCAGGTACCAGGTCGTGATTTTGGTGCTACATTTGCCCCTATGGCAAAATTGACTACTGTTCGGTTGATTATTTCTCTGGCTGCGGAGTACTCTTGGCCTCTTCATCAATTAGATGTGAAGAATGCGTTTCTTCACGGTGATCTGGACGAGATTATTTATATGGATGCACCACCGGGTTTTCGTGGTGAGGGGGAGTATGCTGGAAAGGTATGTCGACTGCGTAAGTCTCTTTATGGACTGAAACAGTCGCCACGAGCCTGGTTCTCTCGCTTTAGTGATGTAGTCGTACGATTGGGTTCACCAGGTGTCATTCTGATCATACTTGCTTTATTCGACGGAATACTTTTGGACAATGTGTCATCCTTCTGGTATATGTTGATG